ACCAATGGGTCATGGAGGACCCCACACAGTGGACAAATTGAAGTTCATCTCACAAGCTTTTATTGACATTGGTGCTAAATGGAATTTGTGTCACAGTGACAGGGACAGGTTCCAGGAGTGTAGCGATATCAATCAAGGACATTTTGAACTCCGAAGAATCTAAACATGATCCGTTCAGTACTATATGATCAATACTTTTGGCCCACCCTGTATATGAGCATCCCAAGTGAAGGGGGAAAAACATATTCTACAATTTATCTATGAAATTGTGATCACTGCTGTTCAGTCATTTTGGCATTGCACACGTGCCTTTTTTTCCATGGCCATGTAAACTGATTTCCAAAAAGCTCTATCTCTCTTGACTACCCATATATGCATGCACACACACACCCCGGCACCCTGTGTTGAGCCCTTGAGATGTCTTACTTTTGGAGAGCCATGGCACTCAAAGCAGATTTCTCATTGAAGTGCAAGCTGCTAAGAGCACAAGAAATCACTGAGCCCACACTTGTTTCAAGTATTCAGACATGCTTCTGATTTGAGGTTTTTGTTTTTTTTTAAGGGAAAAGAGAAATTACAAATAAAAGAATTTAACAGGAGTGACATTTTGCTTTCCTGCTTCATTCAGGCCATGCCACAGCTGCGGCTGCCACTGGAACCATGTAATGGAATTCCTACGGCACCGCTGCATATGGCATCCACATCCATCCATCACATCCGCTCTGAGCATGAGTGATGTTCCCCAGCGCTGCAAGGGAAATGCAGCCTGAGCTGCCATCCCGCTGGCTGCAACTCATCAAGCATCTCATGTGGGAAAGGCACTGCCGGCATCAGATAGTGTGATTTGGGCGAGCGGATGGGGAGGCAGCAATGGAGCAAGGAAGGTTAAAGGCACGATCCTGGGCATGTTTGGAAAGAGGAGAGAAAAAGGCTGGGGAATGCTGGGAGTTGTAGGACTTTTTTCTGCTTAAATGAATTGCATCCGAAAGGACTGTTCCAAGATAAACTCTGATCCTAAGCACACTTGGAAATAAGTTCCGTCGACATCAGCAGCATTTACTTTCAAGTAAATGTGGTTAGCATCTTGGAATAAGGATGGTGAAAGGGCAGGAACCAATGGAATTGCTAATGCCTTCTGCTGAGATACAGTAAAGGGGTTACTTGATAAACATTTTTCTCCCTCTGTGAAGAAGACATTGACTTTGACAAGGGAGAAGCTTCAACCATGAATCTTTGCGCAAATTGTGGCCTTGCAGCCAAACCTATTTCACAGGGTTGTTGTGAGGTGTAACATGTACTTGCATGATACCTGCTTTTGTACACAAAAGCCTGCTATAAAAATTACAATGAGGAGTGGATAAATGTTCAGGGTTGCCCAGAATGACTAAGGGTTCAGCTCCAATGCACTGGTTGAAGAACCTTAATAAGAAAAACCTTTCACAGTTTGCAGAGCAATTCTAAGGGGGATGAAAGAAGTGAAGTTTCAGAGCAGAGCTGCAAGGGTTAGCATTTTGCCATTGGAAATAATTCGATCTTTGAATGCCTCTTATACTAGTTTTGTGCACATTTGGAATAAGTTGTATTTCATTTCTATGGCCTATGGCTAATGCAGTTTAGAAACTGAACAAACATTTAAGATAGTTATTTCTGAGCACTGCTATGCATTCGCCTTTGTTTGCATATATCGGCTCAGCACAGAATGAGTAACCAATGCTACTTCCCCAGCTGGGAATGCCTAGCATTTGCCTCTTGGCATTGGCACCCCAGCGCATCTGGAGGGCACCAGATTGGGGCAGCCTGCCTTGGGGCAATGCTTACGCGCCCATTTTACAGAAAGCAACCTCCAGTCAGGAAAGGCAAAGTGAGTTCCTTGAAGTGACAAGATACAGGGTCAGAGACAAGTACTGAAGTGTTCTTAATCTTCAAGGAAAGGGTCTAGAGACACAATAGCTGTGCTTTTATCAGAATGAGAAGGGCAATATTGGAGCTTTAATCTCATGTTTCTGTCTTTACCAGAAAGAGAACACTATTGTCTGCTGTGAAAAAAAATCAGCAGGATTTAATTCCCATTAAATCAATTTATTAAAGCTTAATTTGCATGAAATTAAATTCAGCCCCCATTCAAAGAGCCTTCACTCCCCTAAATCATGCAGCACTGGGAATTGAACATAGGCCTAATTAAAAACTTGGCTGGAGCCATGCCCGCCTATTCCCCTTGTACCACTCAGCAACTCTGACAGGAGCCCTGGGGCTCTGAAAACTTAATTTGCTTACTCAAGGGATCCTCCTTTCTACGCTGCCTCGCCGAATGGCCCGTCACATGGTTGCCACTTCGCTCACAGGATAACCATGACGGGCTATCAGTCCACCTTTCAAAATGGGTTTGAAGATGCCGTGACTTCAGAAAGAGAAGGATGTTGACTGCCCATACAGAGCAACTCCGCAGGCTTATTTTCACTGTAAGTATCTGATACCTTGTTAAGTGGGGGAGAAGCAGATCTTAAAATATGTGGGAGATAAAGACCACTGGGGTAGGGCGCTTTTCCTGGGATGGCTCTATTTTGGGATTGTACTGGGTGTTGTTTGCAGCTCTTTTTTTGCTTCTAAACTGGGGTCCTCTTCCTTTACACAAAAGACTCAGTCAGGGCCCATTTTCATCTTAGTGGGCAGCATTCCTCAGGGGTATCACTTCAGGGGTATCATAGAATAGTAGAGTTTTGAGAGGCCATGAAGACCATCGGGTCCAAACCACTGCTGTTGCAGGACACCATGTTACACCATCCCATTCAGGTGGCTGTCCAGGTTCTTTCTGATTGTCTCCAGTGTGGGAGAGCCCACCACCTCTCCAGGCAGCTGGCTCCACTGCTGTATTGCTCTGACAGTGAGGAAATTTTTCCTGATGTCCAGCCTGAATCTGGATTGTCACAACTTGAATTGATTATTCCATGTTCTACTCTCTGGCATCAGTAGAAAGAGATCTTGACCTTATTCTTTGTGACAGCCTTTGAAGTACTTATAGAGGGATATCATGTCCCCCCTCAGTCCCCCCTCTGACCTCAGTGCTGGGAATTGGAGCTATCTTAGGGGTCCCCCGGCAACACTTAAGGGCCTTAAAATTGTTCCCCCCATGATATGAATGGACAAATTTCTGGAAACATTTTCAGTGCAGATTAGCTTAATTTGCACAGGGCTATTTGCAGAGGAAACATTTGGTTTGCATCAGAAAATAATCTGGTGCCCTGGAACAGCAATGGGCAACTTGTAGCCCTCCAGAAGATGTGACCAACAGTTCCCATTATCCTCTCCACTGGTTTGGTGGCTAGAGTTGATGGGAGTCAGTGGCCAAGACATCTGGAGAGTCACAAGTTGCCCCTAGGGAGATCTAATGCAGCATGTTTATTACTTGCATTTAGTAAACAACAAAGTTAAACATGCACTGTAAGCATTTGACCTAAAAAGTTGGAAGAACACACTAAATGGCAGGATCTCATGCATATTTAGACAGGAAAATATCTTACCACTCTCAGGATTCTAGGACCTTTCCCTGTCTAAACATATATAGGATTGTATCGTTAAGTGCTATGCTATCTAAACACTTTACATTTTTAATTTAAAGACAATATAATGTACCTTTGTTATAGGCCCCTTATATGACCCTAAGACCGTTCAGAGGGCTATGGACATCCTCAACGGATTGCCCCCTGCATTAATTTTAAGAAACAATTAAGGTACTGGAAAATGTTGGCACATGAGCTAATTTGAGCCACCCAAAGAAACACGCGAAATAACTTATCTTTTTTGAGTTCAGCTCTGTTCTGCTAAGGTTTTTGGAGCAGCTTCAGTTTTGCTGTCATTAAGTATTAGCGCCATGTCGCACTGAGAGATAAATGTTACATGTGTACCCTCTCTTTTCTTTCATGAAGCCACCCTTCCCTTTTATCCTCACTACAACCCTGCAAGGTAGGATATCTCAGTTACATACCTGCATTCTCTCACATACTTGAAAGGGATAATCACTTGATAAACATTACTTACAACTGTAAATCTGCCAGGCTTCTCTAATATTGTATTTGCAGTTGGCACCCATTCATTTTTACTAATGTTCTGATTTAATGAAATGGAACATTTTCTGTGAAAAAATAAAAGACTAGATTTTTTCCCACACAACTTCACTAATAAGGCCTCAGGTGGGTTTCATATGCAATACTTGATGTTCTACTTCCAACTTCTCTTCCCCAAAGAGGAAAAGGCCGCCGGATGGAAGTGGAACATCACCCTCCCCTGGCTCACTACTATGGTATTAACAAAGCCTGAGCTCAGGTGAAGAATGCTGATTCGTAGAATCACAGACTAGTAGAGTTGGAAGGGGCCGGAGGGCCATCAGGTCCAAGCCCCCACTCAGTGCAGGACTCCCAGTTAAACCATCCCTCCCAGATGGTTCTCTAGTGTGGGAGAGCCCACAACCTCCCTGGGTCATTGGTTCCATTGTCATAGTGCTCCTGGACTCAGGAAATGCTTCCTGATATCTAGTCAGAACCTGCTTCCTGTAACTTGAGACAATTATTCCATGTCCTGCATTCTGGGATGATCAAAGAGAGATCCTGTCCTTCCTGTTTGAGCCACCCTTTCAAGTACTATCTGCCCTCAGTCTTCTCTTCTCAAGACTGAACATGCCCAGTTCTCTCAGTCTCTCCTCATAGGGCAGAACCGTACCTGTGTGTCACAGGCAGAGCACCTTTGAGGCAGCCAGGATGTCCTCAACAAAAAGGTGAGGGAAAGTCCCTTTTTGGCCCAAAGCTCCAACTTGCCTGTCACAGTGCTAGAGACCAGGCCAAATGGAAGAAGCGGCTTTGCAGTGGCACAGTTCCTTCTGTGATGGTGCTCAGTCTCCGAGGGCTGGCCTTCCATGGCTTTTTGCCAGCACAGTTAACGCACACTGCCACCCCTGGCACAGACGCAGGATACGGGCTGGCCGAGCGCCCCCCACCCAGCACACTCACCTCTTTGATCCTCTGTAGGAGAGGCAGCAGCCAGTCCTTGTTGACCTCACAGTGACTGTCGAGAAAGGTCAGAACACCTGCCTGTGCCACGTCTGCTCCTCGAATGCGGGACCGGATCAAACCTGTTAAGGTGTACACAAACTCAGGTCCATGTGGTTGCCTTGAACATCTAAGCAAAAAATTATTTGTGAACCAGGCATGCCCACCGAAAACCCCTCTGTAAGCACATGTGCTCCTTCCATCCTTTTCATTTCCAAGCCCTGCCTTAACAGGCCATGTCATGCTGCAACCCGATGCATATTTAGACAAGAAAAGGGTCCGAGAGCTTCCAGCATTCCGTCGCAATCCCTTGGCCCAGGAATGCTGGGAACTGCAGGTACGTTTCCTGTCTAAGCATGTGTAGGATTGCACTCACTGTGTGCAACCAAGAAGTGCTTCCTCCTTCCAGAACTTCTTAGCAATGTCAGAAATGCAGATACAGAATTTGTATCCTATAAACAATGCATGGCTGTTGCACACATACTTTGTTCAGATAATTCTTTTGGTTATCACTAGGGAAAAAAGAGACAATAATTATATAAATCATGGAAGTGTTTAGGCAGCTCCTGAGGAATCAAATACACAACTCAATTGCCACCCAACTTTAGCCTAAAACATCTGTACCAAATTTAGGGCTTCTGCCTTTAGTGAAACACACAAAATCTCCAAAGGGAAGCCAGATTTGTTTCTGTGGAAAGCACTGACATGTCTTTGTGGTGTGAACTGCAAGCCCCCCATACCAAGTCCTGAACACAGTTTTGTAAAGAAGGTGGCAATTGTTCCTGATGAGGAAAGAGAAAGCAAGTATTTCACTACTGCCATTACGTCTTCAACATTAGTGTCCACCTTTTTTGTTCTGCGGCAACTCTGCAGCTTCGCCCTGGACCAACAGCCTAACTGGGGAATTGTAGATTCCGAACAGATTTGGTGGGTCATTCAGTACAGCCCACGCCCAAGGCAAGATATCCTATACCTCAGGTGTTCTCTATAAATCTTTGTTGAAACCTTTTCTGATAAACTTCTGAGGACTGCTGATTCCACAGTCTTCTTTGGGCGGCTTGTTCAATTAATAATATGATAATAGTTGCTTTACAGGCAGGCACTTTAATGTTACAACTCAGAGCTCTCGGAACAATTCAGTCAGTCCTTGATTCTCTTTCTAAGTGATTTCTACAATCGGACCAGCATAAAATCTGAGACAGGCTCATACTGAATTGTAAGATCAAAGTAGAATTTTCCTAAGTGCTACCAGGGGTCCACAGGCCACATTTGGAATGTTGAGAGTGTTGTGGGTGCTCTCACAAAATGGCTGCCACGGTAGAGCTTGCCCATTCAGAAAGGAGCTGAGCTTCAAATGATAAACCCACATTCATTACACAGAAGGCAAATGACTAAGGCTGAGAGACATGGGACTCTGAGGCATTCTTGAAAATAAATATTGTGTTGGAGGTTGACATTTCACTTTGCACCATGCTAGGCTCCCAGTTAATCTTTTCTTATTTTAAAAAAATAAGTAAAATAAACATGGGGGGCAGAAGTCTGGTGACATCAAGAAAGCTGTCTGTAGGCACAGTGGGCACCATGCTGGAAACTCCGGAATCAAACTTTAGACCACAGTGAATTTTCTAACTGAATTTGGGGGCCAAATTTTCATCATGCAGAGAACTTGCAAGGAGACTACGTTTGTTCACTCTCCAGTCATAATCCTGACAAAAATCCCACCCATCCCATTATGATATATAGACTTGGGAGGGGATCACCCCAAGGACCTTGAATTACTTTTTTAAAACCCCACCCAAATCCATGCAATTAAAGTCATATCTAGGCTGGCTTCCAGAAAAACTCCACAGGGTACTGTTACCCTGACGGTGTCGCTCGGAACTTTACCCACATACAGAGCTTGTTCATTCCATTTATGGTCTCCTGGGCCCAGCAATAGGCTTTGTCTCCATGCATCCATGTGCTATTGCTGGGAATATCTAATGGAGAAAACCATAAAACGAGCCTACTTTGCGTTGTGAGATGATCAACACCAATATTAAACCCTATGGAAGTTACACCTACCATTCAAAGTCAGTTTGGAACACTTTTTCTATGGGATCCACATCAGGAGAAGTGGTCCCAGTCTCAGGTCCAAGTCATTTATTTCAAGTTGAAAAGAAAAGTGTTCGGTTAGAGAAAGAGAGTGGTATGGTGGGGGTGAGAATGGTATGGAATGTCTTCTTGTCTGAGTCTACAACTTACAAAGTTATAATGATCAATTGTACATATCAGGCATTTTACTTGGAAAAAAGTCCACTAAAGCTTGGTAAGGCACAATGTCAAGTAAGGATGTCTGGAACCGCAGGCTTAGGGCACAATCCGATGCAGAGCTGAGATAGAAGCAGCCTTACAACTCCCAGCATGCTCCGGCCAGCCATGTTGGTTGGGGCATGCTGGGAGCTGCATGCCTTTTTTCTGTCCAAACATGCATAGGAGTGTGTCCTTTGTTACTGGGAGCATGCAAGATGGATTGGAAGATGCATCACTTTCCCCTGGATTAATTTCTCTATGTGGAACAAGGCACCAGCCCTGGCATTCAAAGGACATTGCAGCAACTGTGGGAGGAGCCTTATCAATGGAATGGAAGTCAGTGACTCAGCAGACTAGCACTTAATTTACAGCAGCATAATTAAGCCAGGATCTGACTCAGAAAGGCCCGGACTAGCCACCCTGCCTCTGCTCCTACTGGGGATGGCACACTCACAAACCTCTACATCTGAAACTTGTGATTCACTTCGCAAACGCTTTCTTTTTATTTATTTGTTCCACAAACAAAGGTTGGAAAATATTAATCTAGACTATGGTTTGCGGAGGGAAAATGAGCAGAGGGGTTTTCACTAATAGCCCCCTGAGCCTGCTCTGACAATATTCATCCTCTGTATGTATCTATTTAATCTTTAAAATACAATTTAATTAAATGTATTAAAAAAGATCCCAGAGAGGCAGCATGAGCTGATCTCATCTGTTTCGTTAGAACAAACAGCTTTAAAAAGAAGACCCCAGGCTTTGTTTTGCCTGTTCTAATTTTCTGGCTAATAAGCTGCAGCTGAGACTTGCTGGATATATTAATAGAGCAATCCCTTTAAAACTGAGGGGTATGTGTGTGTGTTGGGGGGGCTGTTTAGTTCAGACTGCCTCTGACCATCTTTACTAGCATTCACTCCTCCCAGAACCAATTTGAACTCAGAGCCATCGATCTTACGAGCACAGAAACGGATTCAAAGAACAAGCGTCATGCATGCCGAGTAGGTCTTGTAACTCTCCACTCAAGGCCAGCCAGCCTGGGTGGACAGGGGCCAGATGAAAGCCTGAAAGAACTTCCCTGCTATCCCTCCAGTACGATCTTGTAAGCAGAGGAGTCACTTGCCCAGAGGTTTTTCAGCTTTGCTAGTCACTAGCAGTCTATCGATCTGTCACATTTGTTTAGGCAGTACAGGCAGAGTAGCGGGGTTCCCCCATTCTTTGCAACAATCCTGTGAGGCAGGTTAGGTTAAGAGAAAAGGCTTGCGCAAGGTCAAGAAACAGGCTTCATGGCTGAGCAGAGATTTGACATCTCCAGGTGCCCTCTGTCCAAAGCCCAGCTGCACAACACCACCTAGGTCCCCCTAGAACAAGTCATGGAAGGTCTGCAGCCAGGACTAGATTTGCCTGGACTGTCAGGCTACAGATGCTTATGGAACCTGCTTCTCCGGGATCCCTCCTCACAGCTCCAGCTTAAGCCTTAGGAATCTTGCATACTGGACAAAAAAGGAAAGCATGTCCCATCTCACTTCCAGCCAGCACTACAACTCAGGCACAAGGAGAGAGGATATTTAGGCAGCTCTTCTCCCTCTCTTCCTGCGTTCCTTTCTCTGCTAGGAGTCACATGCCAGACAAGAAGAGTGGGAGCATCATCCTATGTTTACTTATGAGCAGCTCAGTTGGCCATTTGTGCTGGCATGAGTCCTGAAGGGAAAGGATGAAAGAAATGCAGGACATGAGTAATAAAGGGAAAAAGGCGAAGGAATACAAATGCTAGAAGCCCAAGTTCTGTTTTGCCTTCAGAGAAAATAAGGACCCAGAAACTTATGAGCAGAGAAAGGACAAACACACCAAAAAAATCCAAACTTTGATCTGCAGAAGGTTAGTCACATTAATCTGCAGTAAGCTCATCAGTTACCATGGCTAAGCAAAGACTGAAGGAAAATCTCAAGTTGTGGTCTTTAAAAAAAAAATGCATTCTGACACACACACTTTGGACATCCAGTTTGCCCCTTGAGGTCAATTCAGTGTTTTACCACAAACAAAATGCAAGTAGCTCACTATCAATTGTGAATAGTGCAAGGAGACTGTGATGGCCAGCTCTCTCTCCACAGTTAACACAGAAACTGGGACTGGGGAAGGGCAAAATGCTTTCCAGTTGCTGCCTCCCTTTACTTGGCTAAGTAACCTTAGAGGGACTTTTCTTGTATCTGAGTGAAATGTAATTTAGAACTTCCCGTCAAGTCAATATTGTAAAAATTTGTAATTTCTGAAGAATGCCTAGTGAGTCTTCCTCAATTTGGTGTCCGTGCTGGCTGGGGATGATGGGAATTTCAGTTCAGCACATCTGGAAGGTAATTGGTTAGAGGAGGCAGGTTTAGAGGAAGATGGGTGAGTTAGGAGTCTGTGGGAGGTCCACCAAATGGTCTGTAAGAGGCAGCATTGGGTATATTTTAGGAGTACTTGTGTTCCATTTTCCCTAATGTGAAGTAGCCCAGATTGGCAGAATTTGGTTACTGGCGGATGTTGATTTCACAGTACACTAACCTACGAAAATGAATTTCCAGCAGCAGTAATAGAAATTTCAGGTAGGCAAAGTAATAAAGGCTGCATGAAGACTAGGAATGTCAACAGATTAAAAGTTTTCCTTGAATAGAAAACTCATTTAACTCTTAGGCACTAACTGATTAATTTGCCAGTTAAAATCAATTGTACACTGTACAGAATATCTAAATAAGATAAGTTCCCCTTAACTAATAACACAAACAATTACTTTTTAAAAAGCCACCGTAAGCAAATT